CCAACTTCGATTCAACAGGAGTCTCACACCCCTTGGAGCCATAGGTCGCCCATTGGGGATCACGTTTTCCGATGGTAGTGAAGCTTCCTACGGAGCCATTCTTTACCTACGGTGGGAGACAGAAAATGGAGTTGCAGTAAGGCTGGTTGAGTCAAAGGCTAAGCTTACTCCTCTAGACCAGAAAGGTGATGTTATTAAAGCTGAGTTGTGCGGGGCTGTCTTTGCATCTCGCTTGAAGACATACTTCGAGAAGCACTGCTACATCAAGGTCGATCGGTGGGTCCATTTTGTCGATAGCCAGACAATCCTGGGAGCTATCCAGAAGGATAGTTATGGCTATCAGACATTTTTTGCAAACCGGATTGGAGAAATCCAAAAGGCCGGATCAGTAGAAGACTGGAGGTGGGTCGAAGGAAGACAGAACGTTGCCGACCTCATCACGAGAGGGGCATCCCCTGAGGAGCTTGCTGAAGGATCAGTCTGGCAGGAAGGCCCAGAATTTTTGAAGTTGCCTGAATCAGATTGGCCAGTTAAAACTGCCAGAGAGATCAACCCCTCTGTTGCTGAGGAGATTGGGGGACTTCGGAGGAAGGCGTTCTCAGCCCTAGTTACAGCAGAGGCCCAGACCAGGAAATGGTCAAGTCCATCCAGTGTAGCACTTGTGCGCCTTGTCGACCCCCGAAGGTTCAGTTCACTGTCACGGTTATGCGGAACCATTGCATGGATGAGACAAGCAGTAGAAATCTGGCTAGGTAACAGCCAGGCCCCAGTTGGGTCAAAGTGGGAGGCAAGACCATACCTATCTGTGGAAAAAAGGGCAAAAGCTTTCAAAGATCTAGCTCTCGAAGCTCAAGATGGTATCGAGTTTCGGGACACAACTCTGGATCGCCTGGTTGTTCAGAAGGAGGAAATGACAGGACTCTTGCTCTGCGGAGGGAGAATCCAATGCTGGAATGAGGATAAAGTGGCTGTACCCTTAATTCCATGCCAGTCGTGGCTTGCAATCCTACTGGCCAGGGAGGCACATGAAGAAAATCATGAAGGTGTTGCCTCTACCCTTCTACGGACAAGAAGGAAAGCTTGGATTGTGCAGGGACGAAGAACAGTTAAAAAGGTGCTGAACAACTGTGTCACCTGCAGAAAGCAAAAAGCCAAGATGTGTCAGCAAGTGATGAGTGAGCTCCCTCAAGAGCGCACCCAAAGAGCAAGCCCATTTGAGTATACAACCCTTGACCTTTTTGGCCCCTTCGAGGTGAAAGACGCTGTTAAAAGAAGGACAAGTAAGAAGGTTTGGGGTATTGTTTTTTGTTGTATGGCCTCAAGAGCTGTCCATGCGGACCTCACTGATGACCAATCGTCAGAAAGCTTCCTCCAAGCATATTCCCGCTTTGTTGCTCTGAGAGGGCATCCAAGGAAACTATGGTCCGACAGAGGCACCAACTTCATTGGCGCCAAGTCAGCTCTGCATGAGCTGTATAAAAATCTGGCTTGCCTGCAGGCTACGTCAATAGAAAATGTTGCCGCTAAGAACGGGACTGAGTGGAAGTGGGATTTTCACCCGGCAGATGCACCTCACAGGAATGGAGCTGCGGAGGCTGCTGTAAAGCTTTTGAAGAGGGCGCTCATGAGCCTCGGAGGAGTTACAGAGTCACTCACATGGGGGGAGCTCCAAACGCTGTTCTATCAGGCAGCCAACCTGACAAACGAACGCCCAATCGATGCCAGAGCTCAAGAACAGGAAGACTCGATCGAGTATTTAACACCCAACTCCCTCATACTTGGTCGAGCATCGCTTGGAGGTGACACCAGAGGGCTTGACCTAGAGACCCATCCCTGGCGTCGTTTAAGGGCTATTCAAATCGGAGTGGACCGGTTCTGGGCTAAGTGGAGGGAACTAGCTGGCCCAAATCTGTTCATTCGACATAAATGGCACCGGACGGAGAGGAATGTCAAAGTCGGGGATCTCGTCTGGATTGCTGACCCAAATGCTTTGAGAGGTCAGTTTCGTTTGGGCCGGATTCTGACAACTTATCCTGACAGTAAAGGAATTGTCAGGGATGCTGACATCTCAACATGTACTGGCCTTCCTGTATCCCTGGTGGGTGGCCGCAAGAAGAGGAGTTCTTCACTGCCCATGACAGTTATCAGAAGAGACGTGAGAAGACTAGTTGTCCTTCTCCCGGTGGAGGATGAAACTCATCCGTCCCAGCTACCATGACACTCACCTCTTCCTGAAACAATCTCATTCTGCTCATTCCCCTTACCTCCTGTTGGCTGGTTGGTGTAAGCCTAGCGCTGCCACCATGCCATTCACATTGCACATACATGAAGAAATAAGAGCATGCACATTCCATACCTTGCATACCCGGGCAGTACACTACACACCTGCCAAAGGGATGTGATTGACTTGGACATTGGACTAAGCAGTTTCTCCATTGGTTGTGCCTTCATTGAACACTAATACATAGACATTGTGCAAAGCCATGGGCTATTTTAAAGTGAAAAAAAAAAAAAAAAAAAAAAAAAAAAAAAAAATGTATGTCTATATAAATAATAATTAAAGGGTGTTATTTGGGTTTGTTTTTAAGTTCCCTGGATTGTAAGATCAGGAACTTAAGTGGGAGGTGTTTTGTTTTCAGTGGAGTTTTGTTATTTCTAGTATTATTTAATTATTATTATTATTATTTGCATGTTTAATTCAGATGTGTACATTGAACTAGAGTTACAACGGATATTAGAAACGTTTGAGGTTTGTAGCCTAATAGTGTAGTGCCTCTTTAAGAGATGAGTGTGCTGTGGAACATGTGACCGGAGTTCACTATGTTTAAAGGAAGTGCGATTCATTGAATCTATATTGACTTCAACCCGGTGTGCAGCCACTTGGTAAGCTCTCTTAATTTTAATGTTTCTTGTCTGCTTTATGATGTATGCTTCATGTTGTTTGCTTTCACCCATGCATCTATATTGTACTGTGTTTGTGTCCGTTTCATGAGAGAGATAATGCTTAGATCTAAACAAGCTTAGTTAACTAAGTTGACGAGGTACCTGAGAGACAAAGTTAACATTTTAGACTTACTTGAAACATCAAAGATGTGTCCATTTGTGTTTACTTTATCTGACTTTAAACATGTTTGAATTTGAAGTATAAATCGCGGGCTGGTATCTAATGTGAGTAATGTTATCCTTCCCGGTTTGCCGTGGGGCGTTCTGGGAAATGTAGTTCCAGCTGTAGTCTACTGCTTGTATGGGTTTGGTAGGACTTGATTATGGTGCATAGTGTATGAAGTGTGAGGCATGTACATAAAATTATGTGTTGATGATTACTGTTATTATTATATAGTGATTATTATTATTATAAATGTTTTGTATTTTGATTAATGTTATTTATTTTTTGCATATTGTTATTTGAATTATGTATTAACTAGTATACACATGAAAGTTTAAATGTTGTATTTCTTATCTTCTCAGGTTTATTACCTGGTTGTTTATTTGTGAAATAAAACAAATAAAGTGAAATCCTGAGTAATATCCATCCTTTGTGCACTGGGTTGCCCTTTCCGTGGGGAGAACACGGAACACTGTGTGAGTATGTGTTATTTGTGGCACACTTTAATGGCAACACAAGGCGATCAATGAGCCCATAGAGGAACGAAGGCTTCCTTATTTCTCCAAATTGCCTGCGCTAGCAGCAGCACAACCTTGATAACACTCAATTGATTATTAATGCATTATTAATCCAGAGCCAGGTCACAGAGACAGCTGGAGGCACTCATGCACACACACACACACACACACACACGCACACACAACACATTGATGAAGCAGCTCCGTGCTCGGGGCCAAAACGTGTCCAATGGAACACTGAGTACATCACATCAATTCACAGCAGCAGAACCAGGCAAAATAAACACGGGAAATACAGCGGCCACTACACCTGGACAAGCAAACGCTGCACGCTTCCCTGCTCTCTAGGCCTGGCACGGGCCCCGCAGAGAGGCAGATGGTGCGGTGGTGTCGGAGTGGAAGGGCACTAGCTGGACAGACCCCTGCTACATCCCCCGTCCACAGGCCTCAGGCCCACCGTATCCACACCAGCTTTACTGCCACATGGGTCCCTTTATCTACCACACACACACAGTCAACTCACATGCATCCACACTGGCCCATTTATAGAGGCAGAAGTGCCAGAATAACTTCAAATGGCACTTCTAACTTAAAGGTATCCATCTGTAGTCAATAAATGGATTGTTTAATAAATGGTTAATTGGAAATGGTTAATTAAAGCGCATGTTTTTAATAGGTCCGCACCAAAGAAAAATCCTCAAGATGGGTATTGACACCGATTTTCACAAATTGATTCAATTCACAAGCTCTTGATTTGATTTGATTCAGATTTTGATTCAATATCAATTCGGTGCATATCATTTTCTCAAAATCTCTCAATGCTGTAAACATACATGTAAGTTAAGTTAATTCAGCATTTCATTAAAGGTTACATTTAACAACAAAGTCCACATTCAACTGCCATTTATTTTTGGATATAATAATCAAAACTGAGCGGCAGAATTTGAAAGCTCAGGCTTATTAAATATAACAAAGCACAAGGCTTATTGGGACTATTAGAAGGTATGCTACGAATGATAAGTGCAGAAAACAGAAAATAGCAAAGACTAAAAGGCTATTTTGGAATTTAAGATTCAATATCGGTTTATCAAATGCACTTTAAAATGGAAGCAGGGATTCATCTGTGGGGAAGCGCACGTCTTAAAGTGTAGTTAAACGCAGCCGTCAGTAGTAACATATCTGCCTTAATGGCAAAGACAACAGTAGGCTTCTCGTCCGCCCCCTCGTGTACAGAATTTACCTCAATTGTAACAGAAAATGTATGCATTGTACTTGTGTACTTATCTGGTTTTATGTAAATGAACCATATCTGAAATTCCAACAAAAACAACAACAAATTCTGAAATGATCTGAAGAGAAATAGGTGGAGTACCAACCCTGTGCAGAGGGGCTGATGTTGCTCAGGGCGATGGTGCACGTGAAGAGGATCCAGAGAGAGAGAGCCATGCTGTGGACGGAGCGAAGGGTGGTGAGGGGAGTGCGGTCAGCGGGCGCTTGAATGTGGGGCACTCCTTCCCTCACGCCCTCTCGCTGATGGAGAACCTGGTGAGAAGAGAACCAGAGAGACAAATTAGAAAGAGAGATCAATACTAATAGCAGGACCGAAATTCTCACTGTCGGCCATTCCCTTCTGCGGCTCAATAAAATAAAATAAGAACCCCAGTAATTCTGTTCATTCAGTCAAAGCGAGATGCCAACTGTTGCCCTGACCGGACCCATGTTTTCTGGCTCTGCACGGCCCTTTTCATGTCGCACTGATTCAACATAATTGAGTGGAGCTCTTGTCGCACACTTGGCGGCGATCAAGTGGAGTTACACGTGATAGAGCTGAAGGGCGGTCATTTTGTTCCATGCTAAGATGTCAAAATGTGTTTCCTTGTGTCGTTTTTTTGCTAATATTTCATAAGTAACCAAGATAAGCAAAAGCAAAACATGCTGTTTAAATAGATATTTGTGAGAATTGTCCAGACTGAGGCTAGAAAAATGCAAACAATACAATACTAGCTCGATTTCATGTGTTATATTCTAAAATGAGTCCAAATGCAATTCATTAGCAGGTGTTTAATTAACGTCCCCGTGTATGTCAATTTACTCTTTTAGGTCGACAGTTGTCATGGTGGAGCAGTCGTTTGAAAAGAATCTGTGTAAATAGTAGGTTTTTCTGTAATTCGGTCCATTCTGTCAAAACGAGACAGAATTTGCAAACTCGGCGGCAGTCAGGTGGAGTTAGAGAGCTGAATGGCGGCCATTTTGTTCTTGAACTAACATAGCAACACCTGTTCCTTGTCCAACATAACTATCCTGTGTGGTTGTTTGCCAATAATTTAGTAGTAATAGGGGTGCAACGGTACAGATAGCCCACGGTACGGTCCGTACCTCGGTTTTTGGGCCACGGTCTCGGTTCGGTTGCGGTACATGTTTTGTGCAGAAAGAGACTGCTATTTCATCCCAAAAATATGTTTTATTTTTCTTATGAGCATAAACAGAATGTCACAGCAGGAAGAACATCAATGTGTATGGAACAAATTAACACTCTAGTCTGTACTGGACAACACTAAGCAATACAACCTCTTCAACTACCACGATATACAAAATGTAAACGAGCACACTTTAAAATATTCAAGTGGATCCCAATTCCAAACCTTGATGACTGGTAAATGAAGTGATCAATGTGAAAGAAAAAGTGCACTTTTACCTTTAACATAAATTAGCTTGTGGTTTGAATAAATAGAGCAGAGCAAAATAATATAATAAAAAAAACTGCATTCAGGATACAAAGTGCAATGTTATTTACTCATCCACTTTTGAGAGATTCTTGTGCAAAAATATACTGCAGTCAAACATTTGACTGGGTTTGCGTTGCGCATCCACTATGTGCTGGGAATGTAGAGAGTAGGCTACGTGGAGCCGGAGGTGAGGCGTTTATTTAGTAAGCGTGAGCGCGCTGGGGCGGGCACGTAACTTACATTCGCAGCCTGACTCAATATATGAGTATTCAATGTGCGGCGGCTCACTAACAACAGTTGGCTGTTTTGAATAAAACGACCCGTGTGAACGGGGAGCGCTTTATGAACATCTATGACGCGCGAGCAGCGCCGGTCTGTTCGTGTGTCTGTTAAGAGTGAGCGCTCGTGAGCGACACACACATAACCTGATTTATACGAGGTTGAGGTTATGACAAAGCGGGCATAAGCTGGACACGAGCGCGAGTTCGCGGGCGAATTTAATAACGCGGAGCGTTGTTAACTAATTGATCCATATATAGGCCTAGTAAGGGGCTCCGGAATATAAGGCACACTGTCGTTTTTTGAGAATATTAAATGCTTTTAAGTGCGCCTTTTATAGTGCGGAAAATACGGTTAAAGGATCAGCACGAACTCTATGGCAGAACCGAAGTCCCGCGGGACACGAGGTTAGATTGTCCCGTGCAGGGCAGACCGAACGGTCCGGGATTTTACCGTGTACCGTTGCATCCCTAAGTAGTAACATACAAACCAAAACATATGCTGCTATATGAAGCCAGAAACATGCAAAAGACAAGCAATCTTGATTTTTCAAGATTTTCCAAATGCAATCCATTACCAGCTATTAGTGCAATCTGTCCCGGCCTAGTCTACGGTCAATTTACTCTTTTAGGCTGACTATTGTAATGGTGGAGAGATCATTCGAAGATAATCTGAGTTAAATAGAAATAAAGTAGGTGCCCATTTTGTTGCCCATTTTATATCACACTTCCAAGTAGCAGAAGTGCAAACTTGGCGGCGGTCAGCTGCAGTTAGATGGCTAGAGCTGAAGGGCGGCCATTTTGTTCTGTGCTAACATGTCAACATCTCTTCCCTGGTGTTGTTGTTCACCTATAATTCAGTAGTAACCAAATAAACAAAAGCGAAACATATGATGTTATGTGATTTCCAATGAATTGTTTGGACTGAGGCCCAAAAAATACTCTATCCGATTATGTGAAAGGAAAGATCACTTTGAAAAATGAAAAGCCAGTTTTCGCATTCAGGTAAACTGTAAATACAGTTTTTCTGTTGAAGCTCTGACCTGATCCATGTTTTCTGGCTCCACACAGCCTATTTCACATCACACTTAGTCAAAATAATTGAGAGGAGCTCTCGGCGCACACTTGACATCGGTCAGGTACAGTTAGACGGCTAGAGCTGAATGGCGGCCATTTTGTTCTGCACTAACACAGCAACAGCTGTTCCCTGGCAAACACTTCAGTTCCAGTCATTTCAGAGCTTGATTGGATGTGACGTGCTACATATGCATGGATGTGAACGTACGGCTGTCCGCCGGACATGCACCATGCAAACACCAAGAGTGGCCATTCTGTGCACGTTTAGACGAGAGAGATATGCAAAGGTATAAAGAGGCTCAGGAAGTGTGAGATTTGAGAATTGAATTTTGAAAAAGACTTTTTTTTTCACAATTTTCCACACAACTTTTTAAATAAAACCAAACCAAAATTACGTAAATAATAAAATAAAATTAACACACCTTAAAAAAATACACAAAAAGACTCAATCACAAACAACAAAACCTCAAAAAAAAAAAAAAAAAATGGGGGGGAATAGACTACAAACAAAAAACTAACTCATCTTCAGAAACAACACACAATGCTCCATAACTACACCAAACCATCTCAAAAGTAGACAAATCTTGCATTGTTTTATAAAAAATTAAAATCAATCAAAACTCTTTGATCTAATCAACCTTAAAAAAAACTAAATGATGCTTTGGCAAGGCTGTTGCTCTATTTTATTTTCCTACTAATATATATTGCCAACTTTGCTTGTCCCAAAATAAAATTCAGCAATTGACAAACTCTTGCTCCGACTATATCTGAAGCCCAGAATAAAAGTTTTCAGAAAAACACTCTTTACAAGAGCTGAAAATTCCTTTTAACAACCTAAATAATTTTCCTAGTCTATCACACTGCATAAAGACATGAAAAACAGTTTCCCTTTGGGAACAAAAGGGACATTCTGAATTAAGCTCTGGATTAAGACAGTGATGAATGAGTTTACAGCAATAATGCCATGGAGGATTCTCCACTGTAAATCCCTTGCCCTCTTCGATAATGGCGGTTTATACAGAGATCTCCACTCAGGTTTTACATTTTCATCTAGCCCCAAAAAAGAGCGCCATGGTGTATCAACCTTTTTTTCAAAGCATGTCTTATTAAAAACAATAACACAAGCTCTATACAAAACATTACCTTTAGTTGTCAAAAAAATCCAACCACAAAGATTGCCAATTCCTTACAATAAAACCTGTACACCCATCAAGATTAGGTAAAACCTTTAGACAAGGAAACAAATCCAGAGCATTAGGAGTGCCTGTACCAGAGTGATAATCTTTTAACATTTGGTTCTCTTCATCTGTGAGAACTGATCTCAGTTTAAACAAAAGAAAGAAACAAGACAAACAGATTTAATACCCAAACATTTTGATGCAATCTCTGCGTTCTCCAAATTTGAACCAGACAAATTCAACATCTGTCCTAATGTGACAGTCCTGGATTTTTGAAGAGCAAAACTAAACCCCTGTAAGTTTCCATTGTCCGTTATATCCAAGCGTGCTCCAAGTATTAAGGGTTCCTCTAGCAGCCAATGAAGGGAGTATGTGCTTTCAGTCTTTTCAATGTGAAACAAGCTCCACACTTTAAAAAGATTTCTATAGAAGTATGGCATCTTTGAAAAGTCCATTTTTAAAGGGTTCATCAAAATAAGGTGTTTATCCAACCCAAATCCCCCAAACTGTTGCAATATGGCACAGGCAACAGCCCTCCAACTCACATCAGATGCACCATCAAAAAATCTCTGTAAAAACTGCAACCGAAACGCAGCCGTTCTGCTTTGTAAGTTCATGAGTCCTTGTCCTCCTTCTTCCTTGGGCAGGAATAAAACACTCTGTTGTATCCAATGTAATTTGTCCCAGAAAAAATCCACAAGAACAGCTTGAATTTTTGCTAAAAGTTGCTTTGGAGGATCCACACAAGCCAACCTGTGCCACAGGGAGGATGCTACAAGATTATTTACCACAAGAGTACGTCCTCTGTAAGACATATTCATATTTTGGGTGATGATGTGAGAGAGAGAGAGAGAGAGAGAGAGAGAGAGAGAGAGAGAGAGAGAGAGAGAGAGAGAGAGAGAGAGAGAGAGAGAGAGAGAGAGAGAGAGAGAGAGAGAGAGAGAGAGAGAGAGAGCGAGAGAGAGAGAGAGAGAGATGATTTGAATACTTAGCTAATAATATTTACAATCCCAGAACCCTACATAAACCCCTCACAGAAAACACTTTTCATGTTGGACCACTAAACACAGACACTAATGTAACAGATTGTTCAGATACAATCACCAAGGTTGAGTCAAGCTTGCAACTATTTAACTTTCATTGGACCAACTTTCAAGTAAAACAGAATATTCAGTGGGATATAATGAAATCAAGTGCTGCATTTTGGCTAATTGAAAATAGATAAATAATATATTTTTGTTAATTACTTTCCTGCATGGCCTTGGTTACATTAGAAAAGAAAA